CCTGTTGGCAGGAGCGTGGCCGCGGAAGTGGTTTGCTGGGACCGAGGTGGGAGCCTGGAGGACTGGTTGCTCTTTGAAGTGAAACCTTGTCTGATGTATTTACTTCTTGGTTTTCGTATTCTCAGATCGTGGGTTATTTAACCGTGAAGGACATAAGCATCGAGAAGATCAGCTTTGATTATTCCAGCTACGGAGAGGCGCAGCTCAGCGAGGGGGATTTTGGCCACGTCACCGAAATCTACGACTTCTCCCCGGCGCTGAAAACGGAGCACCTGATGGAAACGTTCTCGGATTTCCAGTGAGTGCCTCCCCGAGAGCCTGAGCCCCTCAGGGGCACGGAGGGAAGCGGGATTTGGACCCGAATGCGCACCAGAATGTGATGAATTCCGTACTTTGCCTCTGTGCCCTTGTGTCTTACGCCCTTTCTGTGCCTTAAAGGACACTTCCCTGCACTTTATGCATTATTTAAAACACAACCGGTTCTTCGGGGCTCTGTCACACACGGGTACCTACGTGCAGGCTTATTCCTTCGGCTGTGACTTCAGGGAGAGTCTTCAGGTGCTTTCTGGGAGCTTCTTCTTGCATCCCAGAGCCCAAGTGAAATGACGTGCCTGCTTTGCAAGAAAAAGGGCTCAATCCTGCTGCTGGAGATAAGATCTGTTGTGTAAATAGGGGGAGCAGAGCCTTGTGCCGAGGGAGTTGACACGGGGTTAGGAGCAGGACCAGAACAAAGTTCAGCCCTTCGTTAGTGACCGAGGGTGCTCGGCGCAGCTCTGAATTCCGCCAGGCTGCGCAGACGCCCCCGTCTTCCTCCCGCCATCCTCCTCCTCCCTTGATAGACACCTGGTGGATCAGAGCTGAACACTTCACCTCCACGGATCCCTTAAATTAAAAAACATGATTTACATTTTAGAGCAGCTGCTGTCCGTTGTGGGGGGGTCCTCTAGGGTATTTTTTGCACGTGCTGTGAGAGTGAAACCGAGCTGAAAATTGACGGATCTGATCTGAGCAGTCGATCGTTTTTCCTGCGCGGCCGGAAGATCTTTGAGCTCCCTGCTCCCAAACTCACGTTTTTCCACCCACGCTTTAGTATAGATTTTTCACACTGGGCTCTTCACCCTAAGTGTTGCTAAACCACTCTTATAAATCACTTTTTACTGTAGGTGTCTGAGCAGTCGGGCGGTGTTTGTAAAGCTCTACAATATTTTTGTGTTACAAGACAGTCCCTGAAATTGAGGTCGCTTTTGGCCGGGGGTTTCTTTAGAGGAAAAGGCGAGTTCTTGGGGGCAGCTGATGGGGTGACCGTGCGTTGTGGCCTTGAAAGGGGCGCCTCTCAATTCTGTTCCCTCTCTTCCCCTCGTGTCACGTGGGTGTAATGCTTTGGAAAGCACCGCTGTCTCCGTGAAAGCACCGAGTACTCTTGATAACTCAGGGTGGGTTTTATCGTGTGGGGGTTTTTAATTCTTTCTGACGAATGACTGTTACCTCCTGTCTTCTCATTTCAGCGAGAGCGGCTTCAAAATCCAGTGGGTCGACGACACGCACGCCCTGGGAATCTTCTCCAGCCCGTCCTCAGGTAGCGTCCCCCGTCGCCCGGGTCGCGCCTGCGGGACCCCCCGAGCCCCTGGGGCTTC